TGCGGCTTATGTGGTTCTATACTAACTTTGACTACTTATGATGGAGGCATGTGGCTGATTCATTCAATGTAATGTCCAAAGCCTCAATATAATTGATGAATTTGGTGATTGAGGAGTGAATCGGGATGGAAAAAATCAACACAGTTAGTCAATTTTATTCATTTTCGTGGTAATTGAGCCATTGACAATGGCCATCATAATTTATTGCTCTTAATAGAATTTGTCATGGTGAGGAGTAAACATCAATCAAGTCATGAGGGAATTTTCAAGGAATCCTCCAAGAGAGTGTAGGATAACTCTAAGCACGTATGGTTGTGCTCAACTTGACTCAACATAGACCTGATTTGATGGAACTATGCTCACATGACATAAACTAATTGACTCGAATACGAAAATTTGTACTCTTATTCACTCAAGAGACATATATCAACTAGATTAGCATAAATAAATAAGTTTCTCACACCATTAGTTGCCAATACTCGATCCTTCTATTGTTTCATGAACAAAGTTATGTTCTTTATATTAAAAATAAATACGTGATAATCGTGATGGATTAAAAATTATGGCCTCTAACTTTCTTAATGGTTCAACTTCTTAGCAACTTCCATGAAACTTCTTTGTGGTGACTCCGTTCCATGGTTTAGGAACCTCAAAGTCAAATATATTTTCTTAATGTGAACATTGATAAGTTTGTTAAATTTCACTATAATATTATTCTTAATGATAATATGAACAGAGACTGGGTCAATTTGATATACCCTAGGGTAAATTGTACCGCACCCAACTTTTTTCAGAAGTTGCAGATTTATCCATACATTTGATTTTTGGCGCTCTGAATCTACAATGCTTTGAAAATTAGCAGAAGTCATCCCTCCTCACGATATACATCCAATTTTACTATTAAGTTCGCATGAAAAGACAAATTTACCTTTTACTTAAAATAGACAAATAGATAAATGGTAAATAAATAATAACCAAAAGATCTCAAATGTACTAAAATCCATCCTAATTATCTTAACAGCAAAGTTGGACAAAAATCATGGAAGAGGGAAGTCTTTTGCTATTTTCAGACATGTTGGGGTGAGTAGCATCAAAAATAAAAGAGAGGGATAGATCCGCAACTGTCGAAGAAGATTGGGGGCGAATAATGCAATTTACCCTTAACCGAAAGAACATGTATGATTGGTAATTCCTTTGAGGAAAGAAGTGGCAAGTGGAGTGGGACTGGGATTTCTTGAAAAAGCAGATGCCCGTCAGACCCTTTGGGAGATGAGACAAATTGATATAAAACGGCTGGTGGGGTCCACATTTCTGAGGGGGTAATTTCGTCATAAAACTTTCTTGAGGGTCTTTTCGTATATTAATAGGAATATAAGGGTCTATTTGAAAAGATGGAAGCCAGGATTCATGGGTGGAATATACCTCGGGATTTGAAAAGACATGGAAGGTATTTGATGGGATTTTCGCCGCAAAATTATCTGCACTTTATTGAATGGGATATGTACGGACATGCTAACACATTGTGAAGTTTCCAGTTTTGCCCCGCTAATAGTGTAATTAGTAATATTATTTGTTTGTGGTTTCAATCGAAATAAAAGGAGTCTTTGGGGTTTAGATTAGACTTTTACCTTTTTCTTCTGATTATTTGAATGGGTGGCTCTATTGCCACGACCACGTTGTATTTACAATTAAGCTCTTTAATATTTGTTAACTATAGCACTTATTTTCTAAACTTTTTTTCATCGAGTTCTTATTTTCAATCTTCTATTAAGTAGGGCTTCTTATTCTTGACGATAATTTATATCAAAATATTTGATTTTTCATGTTTTGAAATGAGGGAAAAATATTTTTTTTGCACTTTTTTATTTATTTTTAAAACAGGATGAAACATAAGTTGATTTAAGCTATTTCAATGGACATTGGGACATCAAATTATTATCAAATATAAAATATGTTAACTAATAAAAAATTTGAGAATAAAAATGACACGAAAAACTATTAGAAATATAAATACTATAGTGAGCAAAGATTAAGAACATGAAATTAAAATGGGGTGTGAATATAATTACCCTATTTGGAGGGTTTTTGGGAGACATTTTTATGTAAAAATATATTTTTGAAAGGTAAATTGATGGAAAATATGTGGTTGAAAAATAAGGAATTTTTTTTATATACTTGTAATATTATTTTAATAAAGAATGTGTGGTTGAAAAGAAGAGAAAGAAAAATGCATTTTAAAAAAAATAGGTACCAAACGAGACCTTAAATATCTATGTATTAGGGGTACCAAACATGTACCATGTATGCTCTAATTTAATGATTATTTAAAATGAATAATTGAGTAATATTATTCATCACTTGTTTAAAGGTCGCGAACCCTCTAAATTAAGGGCCTACTAATTTAAGCGATGTTGAGAAATCTATTAACAATGAATCGAGAGCCAACTACTATTTATACCTATGACGAAAGTATTAGTTATTTAATTTTGAAAGGCTTGTTGAACCAAGAAATACCCTTTTCGAACCTTGCTCGCTTGCAATGCATAAATAATGCAAAGGGGGAGCCAAGTATAAAAGACTCATACAAAGTAGGCGAACTACTCCCTCATCTAGACTGCCAAGAAAATCGTCATCGAAGCACACGTGGACAAATGAGTAAAGCGTAACATTTATATCATAATCCGTTATGAACTAACCAATAAAAGGTTGCCACCCGTCTTTTCTTCTAGAATGATCAAATTGCCCCCAAAACCTTGAGGGACATCTATAAATATTCTTGTCTAAGTCTCAAACAGTCATTTCTTCTCTTACTCATATTTAAACATTAAAACTAGTGAGTTTAGAAGGTGAAAATCCCAATTAGATGAAAGGAATTTGTTAATCTGATTTTCACCGTCAACCAGACTAACAAATGAATTTGCTAAAAAGATCCAAGAACTTTTTCGCCATAAAGAGGCTTTGACCCTTATCTTTGGGCCACCCAAAAAATCAAGTTAATTACCAGTTTTTTCCACTAATTGGAAACTTTGTACACATTACACATGACAATGACTACATGTGTAGGGACCAGATCTTTTGAGGTCAAAAGTTCACAAGAATATTAATAATTAAGAAAAAAGATTTAGAATTATTGAACGAGAAACAATATGTTATAAAAATCATGATTTGCTTAAGATAATTTTTTATTTTAATAATGAATTAATTGAATATTTTAGTATAACGTAAATTTCATTTTCTCTGAGTCAATTACATAATTGAGTTTTTATGACATGCAGCTAACTTTATTTGTACGTAAGAAGAGAGAAGTCGCAAAAATTGAATTTAGATAACGACATTCATTAAATCCATTTTGTATTTAAGACAAAGTAAATCAAATCACTCATAGTATCAGTATGAATACAGGCTTTTGGCTGTGTACATCCCTGCCTTTGATAAAATAAAGACCAACTTACACGTGAATTACGGTGTTCGAAATTAATTTAAAATAAATTATAAATAATTTGCAATAAATTTTAGTCCTCATTTGTTCATCATTATTTCAAAACTCTCTTTCTTGTCTTTTTTTTTTCGCCCCCTCAAACCCATTTTCAACCACACATTCTCGAAATAAAATATTTTACACACAATCCTAAAATTTTTCATACCTTTTAGCTAAACATTATTCAAAATTTTATTATTCTAAAGCTCGTTTTCCGAAAGACAAACGGGGACTTAAATTTTAAGACAAGATATTCAACTTTATGTAAATTTCATTCGACCCTTATGGATGACATCTCCGATGACTGGGCCCTCACATGGGATGCATGGGTTCCATGTGAATAAAATAACCCTGACCTCCCATGTCTGTGTATACGATCATCCACTCGGGTCGTGTAGTGCGGATGTTCAACTTTAATACTAATCTAGAAACCTAATCCCACCTTTGTCAGTATTTGGAACCACATCTTGCCTGTTAAATGGCAATGAAAACCTACTTAAAATGAAAGGTTAGGACTTGAGAGAGATTTAACAGTATTTAGTCCCATATGAGCCCCATTTAAATTTATAATATTTTTTTTATTTTTTTTTAATTATACATTTTTTAATAAAATAATATTCCATTCTTCCCATTTATATTAGCCGACTTTCTTATTTTCTTGTCTCAATTATATAATTATATTTCTCTTTTGAGAATGTTTTGTTTTGTTTTTTTACTAATATATCCTTATTTAATTTGTATAGTTATAATCAATTTTTTATTTAATCTTACAATTGTACAAATATAAATCAGGGTAAATTAGGAAAGTTTTTGGTAAAATTATTTTTTCAATAATATTAAATAAAATTTCTTAATCCATGTGAAAAATAAAACCAACCTATATAAATGAGATGAGGAGAGTGTTATCCATAAACCAAAATCCTTTCCTTCTTTTTCAACTATACATTCTCCGAAAAAATACTATTTCAAAAATTATAACATCAAATAGTGATGTTCAAATGGGGATTTAATACCCCCCAAATAAAATATCAGTTTTCACTTTTCAATTTTAAAGAAAATTTGCATTGGATCAATCATCAATATGTAAACAACGTGCAAACCGAGCCGCCTCGATCAACTTGTCCAAAAAACTTGAGAACTGTATTGCTTTTAACTTGAAAATTGAAAAGGTACAATTCATATTAAAACGAATTGAGAGTCGATAATTTTTAATGGATTGAGTTCTTTAATCCTCGATCTTTTATCCGTGTTCGAATCAATTAATTTGAATTTTTAAAATTCGAACATGTCAAGGATAAAACTGCATGTGCACGCATACGTTGACATATTTATGTCGTGAACTTATTTCCATATTATTACTATAATTATTTGCAGACTGTTTGACGTTACGATATTGAATTTTCATTAATATTCTCGAAAACCAAGAAATTATTTATTACAGTAAGTACAGCTAAAAAAATCATATATGTATGCATATGTGTATGTATATATGGAGAGAGAAGGGAATGAAAAGAGACCGGATGTTGACAAATTTTAATGTCACTGTTCCAAGGAGGTCGTTTGTTGTGAAGATTTGTTTTCTGGGATCTCTTTTCTCTCTCAACAAACAAATTCTCTCCTCTTTTATTCTCATTTCTCTCTCTAAATTTCTTCCTTTTCAGAGAGAGAGGCCCAGCAGATCGAAATCTGCAATCTTTAGTTGAGTTTGATGAGGATCTGAGCTTGTTCAATGAAATTTCCAAGCCATTCCCTTTTGCTATTTACTTATTTTCATTTGAAAGTTTTAATTATTTCTCTTCCTTTTTGCTTTTCTTTTTCTTGGTTTATTTGGCCGTATTGAGTGAAAAAATCACTAAAATTTTACATGATTACAAGTTCTTATTTACTGTGAGACTCACTGTTGGACGATTGAATCCATGAGGGTTTCTTGAGAAGCTGTGATTCCAGGATGTGGGTCTGAGGTAATATTGTCTTTTATTACTTTCTTGGGTTTCATAGATTTACTGGATTTTGACCATTAATTAAAAAGATTTTTTTTTCCAAGAATTTTGCTTATGATTAATAATCTGATAAATTGATTTATAATTGGTATCAAAATGACTTCTTTTGGGGTTTTCTGATTATTTGTTCTATTGGCTATGATGTTGGGAAGTGCATTTGCTTTATGAAATATAGTACTAATTTAATTTTGATGGGTTCTTGGATTTGGTTAGGGATAATTTCTATAGAGGATCTGTTTTTACCTGAATTCAATCTAAATATAATTGCAATTATTTGGTGGTCTGGGATTCTAAATATGTTCCTTGTACTTATGCCAGATGATTGGTTTTTCTGTAGCATATGTTAACTTATTGACGCCTTGTTAGGTTCTAATTGTATTAGTTGAACTATATTTAAAAATCCCTCTTTTGCAATTTAATTTTGTACCTGTTTTGTTAAGTTTCCAATATTACAACCAGAATTTTTTTTTGTCATGACACCAAGTGCGGCTGTGTCAATTTTGGTCCAGCTCTTACTTTATCTAATCTATTCCTGAGGCAACCAATCGACTCGAATTGCAGAGTGGATCTATACATTCGAAGGGATTAATTCTGTTGGCTGGAGTGTCTTACTTGAATATAATAGACATTTTGCATTAGTTTGTTGTGATTATATAAGTAAATGATTTTCCGAAGAAGGAATCTTCATGGTTTGGTTCCATTAGGCGCTTATATAACGTACATATCCTTGACTCATTGATCCCATGTCTTGGTGTTAGTCAAATAGAACTTTTATCAAAGCAGTCACTAGATTGCAACCTTTTGTATATAAAACAATAAGTTATCATATTTAATTTTACTCAGGATCATCTTCGGATTAGGGTGCAGTTATCCCAAGTTTGTCAAATCTTTGATACCATAGCATAAATGTATTTAGAAGAGTTGTATTGATATAGATCTCAGTTGTCTGAAAAGAAAAAAGGTCTCTACCTTGTTTATTTTCGATGAAATAGAAAAAGATCTTTTTTTTTTTTTAATTACCAGTAGTACAAGTGTTCATTCTATGTTCTTTTTATTATTTAAAAAAAAAAAATGGGGAATGTGGATTAATTTGTTATTTGTTGTCATTTTCATAGAAATTATCTTCCATGTTTCTGCTGAGTGGATAAAACACAAATTACCTTAAAAATAACCTGTGCAGTTGAAAAAAAAGGAAGAAAATTAGTACAGGAATGGGAAAAAAACAACAAATGTAGCATTGGTTTCAGAACTTTGGAATTGTTTTTCTAACTCGGATATCCTCTGCAGGAATGGGAACGAAATTGCATTGCGAAAGCTACCTGCCAGGATATTATTCCATGAGGGATCTTAATGAGGATTGTAACAGCAGTAGCTGGCCCCTATTTTATGGAGACAAAACCTTAACAAATGGACTGTGTTACAATTTGTTTGTGCCAAGGACTGTAACAGACAGGAATCTGGGGTACGATAAGGATGCATTAAAGCAGAAAATACTTGAACATGAAGCAATTTTCAAGAACCAGGTACTTGGTTTAGTTTTGTGATTACGTCTGTTGCTCTAAAACATCCAGTTGGTTCACTTATATTTTTGTCATGTTCTCATTTGGCGTAGTGATATGGACAAGCTAAACATGTTTGAAGTTTATTAAATAAAAATTACTTTATTTTTCCATGTTCTGTACAAAATCTAGCTCCTTCTAAGCTTCACCAAACATGCTCTATGTAGAGTCTGTCCTTTCAGTCCGTAACAATTCAGTAGTGTAACAGAAGCTTGATTAGTTGTATCTTCGCTGTCATCTAGGTATATGAACTCCACCGTCTTTACAGAACTCAAAGGAAAATGATGGAAGAAATAAAAAAGAATGAACTACATAAACATCAGGCAATGATGGAACCATCATCGTCATCGTCAAGTCTGCATGGAGCTCAAATGCCATCAGAAGATGCTCGAAAACGGAAAATTTTCGGCTTTCCTCTGTTGCATTCTGGTTATGGTAGAACATCTGTTTCGGGGGTTGAAATTATTAATTCTCCTCCGAGTTGTACTTATGGGAATAACAAGCACACTGGACACTTTCCGTTCCATCACGGGTGTTCTCCAAAGGACTCTGAAGCACTTGATTCAAGACCCTCTAAGATGAGGAAGAAGTTGTTCGATCTTCAACTTCCAGCTGATCAGTATGTTGATACTGAAGATGGGGAGGAATGCATACAGGATGGAAAAGTATCTGACATTTTGAGTTATACACCTAATGGGGTTCAAAATGTTGTACCTGATAGTAGTAGGAAGTTTTTCCTCGGTGGAGATGATTCCTCTTCAAGCTCTTGTTTGAGGAGATCTACTGGGTTAGCTGATCTAAACGAACCCATTCTCGTTGAAGAAGTAATGGCTCCATCATCTGTTGATTTTCCTGGACATACTTCAAATGTTGGAGAGACCAAAGGTGTAGGTCTCTCGCCTAAACACAGTGCAGGATTCGTACATGTACTGGGAGAAACCATAAATAGCAATAACAGATCTTTGATAAATTCATCGATCGAGAGTGAATTCAAAGAGAGGGGGTGGCTCGCCCATGTATACGAAGCAGGTAAGTAGTTTTAATAAAGTTGCAGAAAATTCATCAATTTATTTTATATTACTCTATATCAGCTTTGAGCTTATGTTAATTAAACTCTTAGCTTGTTCCTCGTGATGAGAAGGTTCCCTTAATTTTAAAAGCCCATTTTCTTGGAAAAGTGATTAGATCAATTATTTCGTGGTTCCGAGTGGTGGACCATTAAAAGACAAAAATGTCTTAGAAATGAGAATGCTAAGATGGGTATCTTGGTCATACTAAAATGTAGGGCTGTACATGATTCAATTCGGCTAGTTTCTGAAGAGAACCGAACCGAACCGAACCGAATCAAAACCAGAATTTTTGAAAATTTAGTAAGTGGAATCGTTGGATCTAAATTTAATTATGAAACCGAACCGACATTCGGTTCTGTATCATAATTAATTTTTTTAATATTTACAATAACACTATATCAATTCAACTAATGACATATTTAATATGGAAGACATACTAAAAGAAATGTGAAAATATTCGGTAAAAAAAGGGTGAAAATAAAGAAAACGGCATGGAAGGTTGCTGTTGAGAGAAAGGAAAACATGCAAATACGTGAGCTCGCAATAAATATCTTGAACACTAGTTATAAATTATAATATTTATACATTGAGCTTGAGAAATTATTAGAAAGGAATGAGATGAAGCTTACCTTGATCAAAGTGGTGGAAATTCAATGAATTGGGCAGAAAAAGGGTAAGCGAATCTGCTCAATTTCAATTATTTAAGAAACTATAGAATAATTGAGAAAGCCTGAAATTTGAATTAAAAAGTTGGGGAAAATAATATTTTGGGCTCAATTAATTAGTTGGCAAATTTATTTAAAAAAATAAAATAATTTGGCGTATTTAATAAAAAATTAGAGACATTCAGTTCTTATTCGATTATTCGATTCTTGGTATAGAACCGAACCTATCGGTGTTCGGACTTCGGATATTTAACTTAAGAAGAATTGCTCAGTTCGATTTAGTTCGGGTTCGGTACGATTCGATTCGATTCGGAAGTTTTATCCATCCCTACTAAAATGAATAAGATAAGAAATGAGACTATATGCCAACAAGATGAAGTGGCATTGATTGAGGTAAATAAGGGAAGAATGTCTTGGGTGGCGTGTATAGCTAAAGAGGCTCTAATTCGAAGAGACACAATCTTCTCTTAACAAGTCATAACAGGGAGGGCTACAAAAGAAGTACCATGGCCTATGGTAGTTGCTAAAGATCTAATTGCTTTAGATTTCGTACATCAACCATATGGAGTTCCGGAAAAGGATTCGTGTGATTCAAATTTATTGGGAATAATTCTTAGTTTGTTTCCGTTGTTTGTGTAGAATCTAAACTACTATCATCACTGGCGGTAAATGCTTCCGAAATCAATTTCAAAGGGATATTACCACTCTCAACTTTTCGAGAGTAGGTTTTGTGTTAGGGAATTATGCAAAATTACAATACTTTAATCATGTTTGTAGATGCAATTGACTCAACTTTTTCATTGTCTGTTTCTTTATATGAATGCTGATGGTTTTATGAACTACTCAATTCTTTCACAGGATCCAGTAAAAGTAATCCGGCTTCTGCACCTAAAGGTCTCCAGAACGAGAAGCTACCTATACCTTCCCAGCAGTCAAACGTCATGCTTAATCAGGCTTGCCATCCTCCTGGAACATGTCCAACTGGGCATAGCAGGGAAGATCTGTGGAGAGATAGAAGTCTAGATCACTCCAATAATAACCATTCAGAACCTGTTGTCACATCTCGGATTCCTGGTGCGTACCCATTTTTGGGTTTTACCGATTCTTGGTCTCACTCTCTCTCATCTTCGGCAAAGCCCACAAGTTTCTTTACTCAAAAGATAATCCCGTTCTCTGCATCTATCAACTCTGCTTCAACAAGCCAAGGAACTTTTGGAGACAAGTCGAAAGTTAATGCTAGTTCTAAATTGAACCCGAGCTTGGGAAATGATGTAACATCCCGGAATGGATTTCACCATGGCCCTGTCTCTGGACTCAAAGAACGTGTTCAATTGCCATCCGATGCCATTGATTATTTTAACTGCAGCAAGGGTGATAATGTAGCATTTTACCATTCTGCTAATCAAGGATACGAGAAGTTTCTGAAGGGCTCGACTCATATAAATAGGAAGCCTGTCATAGATATTGACTTAAATGAGGTAGTTTTGAAGAGCTCATCAAATGCGGCAAATTGTCTGCAAGATCTCAATAAGATGGAAGAAAAAAGTAAGTCAGCTGACGTGTCAACATGGCCTTGGCTCAAATCGAAGCTATCCTACAAAAATGAGGCTGCAGATGCTAGTTCAGAACTCTCGGGAAGTTTGGCAAACCTTCAAGCTTCTTCCATTCCACTGTATTGCAAGAGCCAAACTGTGAGAGATCTTAATCAAAAATTTCCCCCAACTTTCATGTCAGCTTCAAGTGATTGTGAGATGGTGAACCTACACGGGACTCGGAATATCAAGAAAATTATGGGGTTTCCCATTTCTGAAATCCGGAGTGTTCATAAACCTGAGCCATCATCCCATTTTTCCACCTCGAGTATTTGCCCTCCCGAAGGAAAAAATTCCACAAATGAAAGAAAAAATGGAATAATAAATATTAATCTAGCTTGTGAGTCGGATGAGCAGATAGCAGCAGAACAGATTGTAGAGAAGGAAATACATACAAAAGGTAGCTGTATGAGAAATCTAATTGATTTAAACTCTTGTATCAGTGATGTTGAAGATCCACCCGCATCCTCTGTTCCAAGAAACAGTGCCATTACAAAGACTTCAGTCGAAATAGATCTTGAAGCCCCATTTATTCTAGAGTGTGATGATGACAATGCACCGTCCAGAGAAGATATACAGGTTGAGCCATCCTTGCTATCTTCTGAACATAAAGCCAAACAAATAGAAGATGAAGTTGTAAGAAATGCAGCACAGGCTATAATTGCCATCTCATCTTTGAGTCAGCAAATTCTAGCAGAGGATAACATTTTCCGTCCGCCTGAAGCTTCATTGGCAGAACCCCTGCTCTGGTTTGTCGATGTTATTTCTTCATGTGCAGATGAACTCAAGAGCAAAGAATTGGAAATCAGGGATGGTGCACCAATTCGTAATCTTTTTGAGGAGATAGACGATTTTGAGGCCATGACATTGCGATTGACACAGACGAAAGAAGAAGACTACATGCCTAAACCCTTTGTTCCCGAAGTCCAAAATGTTGAAGAAACACTACCTGATTCATTACCAAATAGATCTCGAAGGGGTCCCGCAAGGAGAGGAAGGCAGCGAAGGGACTTCCAAAGGGACATTCTTCCTGGTCTGGCATCATTATCCCGACACGAGATGACCGAGGATCTTCAGACATTTGGAGGCCTGATGAGAGCTACAGGGCATCCTTGGAATTCTGGGTTGCCAAGAAGGAATAGCACGAGGAACGGGGGTGCTCGGGGGAGGAGACGAACCGTGGTCAAAACAACTCCAACTATTCCCTCCCCAGTTTGTAATTCATTGGTGCAGCAAATTAACAAAATTGAAACTAGTTTGGAGGATAGAAGCCTAACAGGGTGGGGGAAGACAACTAGACGTCCCCGTCGACAAAGATGCCCTGCAGGTAATCCTCCTACTGTTGCAATAACGTGATAATGTAAGGCTTTAGGTTTCTTGATTCGGAATTCATCGAGGGAAATTAGACACCGAAGAACTTGTTGTGCGACATTCGGGAATGAGGTCGTGTTTCCTAGAGGAATTGTCTTTGTAAATGTCATGGTAGCTCATAATTCGACACTCCATGTTCGTGTTTGATTTATTATGGATACAAGATTGCTTCAAAGATGTGCATTTGTCTTCTTGGAGAGCTGAAATACGTGGAATGTTTTGTTAGAAGCACCCGTGCCGAAAGCGTGAGATACAACGTTCCCAGAGCCCTCGACCAGGACTGGAATTAATTTGGAACTCAACATTGATGTGGATTTGTACTCGATGATACTCGTGCATTGCGACAATTATACTTTCACTCTATATTTCAATCAGCAAAGTTTAATTAAATAAACTACTCTTTAATTTGATTTCAATCAAGTAATTAATTATACATAAAATTAAAATTAAATTATGACTACTCAATGGAAATCATATTAAAATATAATTATCTGATTGAGTAAAATTCAAGTATAGTTACCTGATTGAAGAGAGTGAAGAAATAATAAAAACATATTTCTCAATGATGTCATATACAAGTCTTTTTTATCCTAATTAAAGAGACGACTTGTAATTTGTAGATAATTTTATCATTAAAAAAAAAAAAAGTTCGTTTACCGCTTAACAATCTCAATTGTACTCTGCCCTCGTTTGAACCGCATTTTTTCCCATTCTTTTCCATTATTTTATCTACAATACTCATTTTCAATCACATTTTTCATTAAAATAATATTATACGCAAATCAAAAAAATCCTTCTTTTTCAACCATACATTTTCCATCTATATACTTTTCTATAATACATTACAAGAAATTAATGGGGCTCAAACAAGAGCATTTTCTCTCTTAGAGATCAAATATAGCTTAGCCAATAAGAGAAATAAAACGAAACACCTGATAAGAATCTCTATATTCAAGGTTATGTGCTCATGTAAAAGTGATTATTTAAAAAGTAATTTTTTTAGAGAATGTATAGTTCAAAAGTAGGAAAAAAATTATGGAAAAATGTGAAAATGGTCTATATTTGCTTGATTAAATCCTGTATTCATCCAGTGATAACACGATATCTGAAATCGATAAGGCACTGCAAACAATATCCTTCAAATTTTTGTTATAACACAAAATACCAGTCATTTACAGAATTCCTCCCACAGACATATCTGTCAATAGATATTGAGCTTTCATCCTTCCAGCATGGCCTTTGCAGCATCAATTAACACCGGTCGTATGTCATCCGAGGCTCGACCAAGAACTGTGTATCCTTCTTTGTCCTCAGCATCCACATTCGCTCCATGTCTTATAAGAAGGAGAGCTACCTGTGAACCAAACACAGTTAGGCAAGGAATAACATTACTCTCTCCCACCAAAAAAAGAGAAAAAGTAGAATAACCCTCCAGGCAATGCTATTAAGAGTTAGTTACCAAAATATATCGGTTCTAGGCTTCAATCTTTTCTCTTTATTTCGTTAAATCTGAGGAAGATCTTCGACTCGCCTGGACCCCATTCTGTACTAATGAAATTTTGAATCTATAGCTGGTTGGGTTGGTCAAACCAAGATAGGCATGGGATTATGGGCATATAAAGCTTCCAAATCACTATCAAACAAAATGTATAGACTGTTTTGTGGTTCAGAGCTCTTTTGATTAAGCTTGTGAATTATATTATATAACTATGCGAAAGGGCGATTGAGCAGAGTCAATGTGTAATTTGCAGATCTCATAAAACTAATTAGATTTTATGTGGGAGGTTTAACTATAGAAGTTAATTACCTAATTCGAAGATTAACATAAAATAACACAGGAAAAAAAAAATAAAAAAAATGATACGAGTTCTATTGATTTAAAGGAAGGTGCCATCTAGAAATAAGAAAAACTCAAAATTTGGAAATGATGTTATTTGTAAACAAAATTTATAATCCCAAAACAGTCCCAACCCCCAATTTTCCACGATCTAAAGTCGAAACTTGTTCCATACTGTAAATAGAAAAGATGAAGAAGCAGCATTTAGTTGCAAGGCAACAGTGCAATTAATTTGTGAAGACCTTATTCAAACAGTCAAGGATGAGTAGCAAGGCTAACTGCAGTATATATCAATAAGAGTTGGCACAAGTATCAATGCTACTAATATATATCATGGGAACTTCTAGACATATACTTCATAACCTTGAAAATTTAATTATGTAAGGAGGATATATGCCAATTTTTACCTCTTTGTTATGGCATATCACTGCATCCATAAGTGGAGTTTGACCAGCATTATCAACATCGTCAATCTCTGCTCCTTCCTCAATCAAGAATTCACATAATTCTGCATTTCCCGTGCTAGCTGCACGATGCAATGGGGTGCATCCAACCTGCAAGTAGTAGTTATTCAAAAGTCAACCTAGGTAGATACATCAACGTGCATTGAGACTAGCAAATACACACATGCAACCAAACATACATATGCATGCTTTTGGGTGATGTGTAAGTAAAAAGAATACATCGAAATGCGAATAACTTCAGGCAGACACTCTCTAAGAATACTGTACTATAAATCAATAATCAGGCATAAAGATACGAGCCTTGTCCTTCAGGTTGAGCTTTGCACCATGTGAAACCAGAAGTTCAGCTATATTTAACCGACCCTTACTAGCAGCATAGTGCAGGGCAGTGCGACCACCATCATTTTTCAAATTAACATCAGCTCCTGTTCATCAGCATTTCTTTTTCAGATTTAAGTACTGCTTCAAAACAGTTGAACAGAACTAAAAAAATTAAGGAAAAACAGATACTTGAGAAGAACATTAAATTAAGGTTAACCACCCTTAATAGGAATGCCCTAGAGCAAAGACTTCTCCCATGCAGTCTATGGTGTTGATGGAGAGGAGTTCAAAACCCGTATCATCATAAATTAGTAAGTAAATGAAGATTCTAGATTACGTATTGACCTCCTTTACAAATTTCATTGATTAGTTTGTAAAACAAATAGTGTTTCTGTTACTAGATATTTGTTCCTCTAGCTAAAAAATACTTCAGACAGAAAAATAAAATAAAATTACAGTCTAATTAATTAGTACTTTCAACATTTGTTTTCGACTTTTGGTTTTACATATACATAAAGCTGATCTTCATTGTTGATCTCACCACTTTCCTCGCCGCCCTTTTCCACAATCACTATCATCCTCTGAAAGGATGTCTATTCTCTTCCATAGAAATCACATACAATTGAAAGGATTTAATTCTTTAAAACTAGTTGGAATTCTGCTTCACGAATATCCAATATCAGGTTTTAAAATACTACAATTAAATAATTGTCCACCTTTGTTGAGTAAAATTTCCACAATTTTGAGATTGCCACTGCTCGCTGCAGAGTGAAGAGGTGCCCAACCTTCTTCATCGGAACTGTTCACAATTGACGGGTTAGCCGTGGATAGTACTTCCACAACCTGATCCAATTCCAAACAAAAATTACACTTAGCAAAGAATCAACTCTTCTAGTTATCAAGGCCTGGATGTCATTCCCCAGATATCCTAAAATGCTCGCATCAACACCCCCCCCCCCCTTATATTGAAAATTAGAACAATAATTAGCAAAAGAAGAAAACAAATCGTTAGCGCCAGAGGGAACTCAATTCATCTTGCCAAATGAGCAACAGGTCGATAACTTCTTCTGAATTATATAGTTACAACTATGCATCACCAGCTTGTAAGATTACAATTGAAAATTTGTTAAAATTCGGTAAAAATGCAACAAAAAAGGACCTCGGTTTGGGCGGCAGAAACGGCTAAGTGCAGTAGGGTACGACCATCTTCATTGCGGAGAGAAAGAGCTTTGAGAAGCTGTTGTTCAGATAGCGATTTGAAGATCAATGAATCGCCCGATTCCGCCGCCTTAAATAATTCTTTCTCTTTGATCTCTCTTTCTGGCTTCGAGTCGATCTCCATTTCCATCGGCGTTCACTGTGTGTTCTGCGTGTTTTTCAGGGTTTTTGATGTGAGTGTAGACGGGAGAGGGAATCGGGTGCCTTCGAATAGTTAAGGGTAAATTGGTAATCTAGGTTCCAAATTTAACAAAAGTCAATCGGCGAATTTTTGGCTAACACCCTCTTTTAATTGCGCCAAAGATCCGTAACTTTTGCTATATCTTCAACCTCTTTTCCTCGCATTTTTATCATCAACTTTTTATTAATTAACATATCAATCAAAATAGGCATGCATTGCCAAGCTGACTTGCCTCACAAGGCGAAAGCAAGTGCGTAAGATTGATTTTTTTAATTTCTTTTATGTATCCCAATGTGTTTAAGTGAAAAAATTGAAAAGAACAAAAAAAAGTAAATGGTTTATCTTTTCATGGGTTGAACCATTTACTTTTATTTTATGTAGTTGAGCTTTTATTCTCAGTGGGCTAGCCCAAAGCTGTTTAGGGTTTTTTTTGTTCTATATATAGTTGTATGTATACAATTGGAAAGGAGGATGAATTGAATTGAATTGAAATTGAGGCTTTGGCTTGCCGCCATTGTTTTCTCCCCTTCTCCCTGAATCTCTGCTTCTCCCCTGGCTTCTTTCCCTTTCTTCTTCTACTTCTCTGCTGTTGTACTTTCTTCTTCTCTGTATCTCTATTCTTCTCTGTTTTCTTGTTCTTATGTTTCATCATTTAATCCCTCCCCATTCTCTTTGTGTCTTAATTTCGTTCCAAGTTCAGCTGGATTACTTCATTGTTTGAGCTATGCAAGTGGATGGTTGCGAATTGAGGTTTAATTCGTGACAATCTTCTACTAATTGCCATCGCATGCTGGATGGAGAGGTTGAAAGTCCCCGACCTTTTCAAATGTTCCTTACACTTTCTCATTTCTTGAGGACTTGC